GGCTGGCGAGTTGTACGACACTCGTGTGTGGATGGTATTAGGACAGAATTCCAGTCGAGTCAGTTTTTTATTGCTTGTAATTGTAAGTAGGCTATGTCAAATTTGTCGGACATTACATCAAATTTCGCACTTTAACTATATGTTCATATCTTTATGTTCTATCTGCACACCATGTTACAAAAGTCTAGCTCCAGCGATTCATTAATTATTGTTATCGAACTGAAATCTAAAAGCGAGTTTCGTGCTACTCTAAGGAAGAAAATCGCGCATGTTTGAATGCTCCTTGCCACACCAGATTCGAGGGTCGTGAGTGCTAGTTGTGTCGCTCAAACTTCGACCGAGATGGCGTTAACGTAAAAAAAAGGGGGCCGGGCGACTAGAAACTTTCTTCGGATAGCGCGAGGAACAGTGCGTGGATGCCCTCGAGATGAGGTTGAAGGTTGGCGGGTGTGGACCAGACGAGGTTCCGGTTCATACAAGGTCCCATACGCCTCACGTATGTGGTCCATCCTCCATCTAAATGAGGAAACATAGCCCACATCCAATAGCAGCGGGAAAACGGGCTCCAGTCTAATATTTTAGGAATTACTTCCATAACCCACTCGCCTTGTTCATTTATTACTCACAAAACTCTGATTTTCACGGCTATTGTTGAAGTGGAATTTAACACAAGATGCGTACTGAACACTGAACTTCAAAACCTGCAGAAACTAACAGAATTTTGTGATGTACCTCGATTCAGGTGTTAACAATGACCAACATGTGGGTCTATAAATCGTCTGTTGCAGTCCACACGAGAAATAAATGATTTTTCATTATCCGCCTTTCTTAGTACACATTCAACGTATCGTAAAAAATTTCAAATCACCTTCACAGCTTTTACGTATTTGACTCGAGCTACACTTTGTGTTTCCACAAATGTTTCTAATGACAGTCCTTTTTTTGTAAAAAGATCAAGATTATGACATCGTCATGGCAAGGACCGGATGCGTTAGTGTTGTAAGGCAGTTGTCATAAGCAACAGTATTTCATATACGACTTGGTATTAAATCACGGCGCGCCCGTCATAAACAGCTCGTGCATTATAATTAACAGTCCATCGCCGCAGGTTC